CACACTTGAACTGCACGGTAACCGCCAACAGAATCAACACGCGCGGGACCATTGGTACGACCATCACATCTGCCATCATATCACGACACACCCTCCTCTAGTTAGCCCTAGGGAGATGGACATACCACCTAAACGAATAGAGGAGCTAGATCCATGGGGTAGCAGTGGGTCTATCATGGATGCAAAAGAGTGTGTCGATGTAGGTGGATCCTGCCTGGTTTGTCTGACTGACTTCGTGACTACCATCCAGCAACGACACTACAGGTATAGTTCTGGTGGGCCAGCAGGTGAGCTTTGGAGCATCAAGGTAGTTTCATACCACCAGCTCGGCAATTGCAGATCACCGAATGACTGGAAATGGCAAACATTCACAGCAAGGCGGCCGTCAACCTCCATCACACGACAGCGATATCTCCATTCCTCTCACGAATCAGGGGCAGTCAAGGAACGCTGGGATGTACACTTGCGTACCGTCGCATCGACCAAAACTAAATTCGGCATATTTGCTGCCTCATTGCTCCCCTAGTCACAAGCCTGACTGACAGGTCATTTTGAGATGCTGTATGTGGCTAATGAATAACTGAACCACACGATCCGCGAGCCACTCATGCATCATTTCTACTGGAGTTTGGTGCATACGGCTGGTAGACGCAAATTGAAGCCGGACTCATACCAAATGGACCGATTAGGCGACCTGACGCAACTGCTACGGGGCAGAACGGTCAAAAGCACAGGACAGCTCACTTACAACTAGGCATGATGCCCAGCACTAACAGGAAGGTTATTAGTATTCAGCTCCTTGATCGCTATCTCCAGGAAGTACCTTTGAGGTGATAACTCCCTCACAGCAGCTGGGGGCCAGTCGCTGTTGCCCTTGAGCGGTCAAGAAGTCCTTGAAGGCAAAACTGGACGTATGAAATTGTTACTCTGCTTCAGAGATATCGCTCGCTAAATCGTTACACTAATCGTACGCTCTTCTTCACGAAGTATCATACAGTTCATGCAGCATGCGAGCAGTTGGACGCAGCATCTCTGTGGCGAAGCCAGCCCTTCGCTAAGTAGATGGCTAGGTTGGGACCATCAGACCATCTTCCCTGCCTTGTCACCAAGGATTTCACTTGTCGACAGCCTTTCACTCGGGGTCCGATCTCCCCCATGCTCCGTTCGGGACACCTCGGTTTCGACATCCACCCGGATCCCCTGTCCAGGTGGTTTGGTATTTGCGGTTCCTGCCCCTGTCACAGTCCCGTGACTCAACTCCATCCACCGGTCCTGTCCACCGTGATTTCCCGAGCGCCCCTCCGACACGCTGCGGATCTGATTCATTTTGTAGCGGCTGAGTTTGTCCAAGGCCGTCTTGAAGTCATCGAGAACGATGGTGTCGGTAAGACACTTGAAGACAAAGGCGAGCTTCCAGAATGGGTTGATGCCCTCGGCCGTTCCCAGCGAGAAGCCCTTGGTCACGGCGGCGATGTCGACAATGATGAAGATGATGGAGAGGCACATACTGATGAGCATGACTGCGAAGCGAGGCGATATCCTGGAAAGCTCGATGAATCCGAACTGGTAGCGGTATCTGATGTTCCACACGAGGTTGACAGTTGTAAAGATCCACCACGGATCGCTGCGGCTGATGTTAGCTCGCAAAGCACGGGCGGCTGCGGTCGGCAAGGAGACTCACCGGAACAAGGCCTCGTACGGCCGGGTATGGATGAATAGCCTGTTGATGTTGTTGAAGAAGGCAAAGTTGGCGTATATTTCCAGCACCCAGTACGGCTGCACAATGATGACGCTCCAAAGGTAAAACAGACTGGCCTTTCTCGACAAAAACGGTCTACTCTTCATCCAGCCGACGAGGTTATGCAGACTCCAGGACATGTTGAGAAAGATGGCACTGACGGAAAGGAACCAGCTGTAGACGGGAGGATCGAAGAAGATGAAGAAGCCGTGCGGTGTGCCCAGCAACAGCTCGATGAAGATAAGTTTGTGGAGGAGGATGCCCCGACGCATGTTGGCTATTGTAATGGCGGCCATAACCACCAAGGCACCGACCATGAAACCTTGTGCCCATGCTTCCATCACCAGGCCTGCTGGCGTGGATGGCTTGGACACGCCGTCATCTGTGGCCGCGGGCATGGTTGGTTGTCCTGACTGACAAGTTGAGCATGCAGAGGAGGCCTGCAAAAGACAAATTTGACTGGACAGGCCAGAGAAGTGGGATTGTATATGGTATTATACGACATGCTATCGGGGAAGCTTCCCCGTCGTGAGCTGAAGAAGATGAATAGCCTATCGGGATTATACGTCGGCTAGCCAGGGTGATTGTTCTGTTACCAAGGCTTCGGGACTGTCACTAGTGTTCGGACTCTGCCCTGAAAGGGGCTCAAGGGGCCAAAGCACACGTCTCGTGGCCTATTGTGCCAGTCAGAGGAGAAATAAGCACGTTTCCTGGACCCAGAATCATGCTACCCCACGGGGTCTGGCCCATTTATAATAGCGCAGTATCAGGTGTCAGTCAGAAACTCCCCCTCAAAACAGGCATTGGGGTAACACCCTCTTCGGGAAGGCTTCGCAGACCATACGCATACAGTAGCTCGGCAAGGCACAGTGACGCACAGCGCCGGCCTCCCAGCACGACAGGCCTCCCAAGTCCCGCGGACAGACGAGAGGATGTGTGAGGCACTTGCAGGTCAAGATCGACCATGTACTGGAAACGACCTCGGTGTCACGGTGTCTCAGACTCTCAGTGGCTTGCCCACCACGTGCTTAGCGGCTACCGACGGGTCGTCTAGCGAATCCTTTGGCGAAGCTTGACCTAAAGAAGCCAAATCGTCCATCCACAAACGGGCCGACGTCGTACCTAAATAGCCTAAGTCGCCAAAGCGCACTCGTGCGACCATTTCAGCCCTATTCAACCTGGATCCCAGTGAGGCTATTCCCAGGCATCATACTGGGCCGCCTAAAGGCTCAAGCGCCAGCCGCCAGATTACTCTCCACCATGAAAGGCTAGTTCGCCAACTCAGGAAGTCTTCTCCACGTTAGTGGACGGGCCATGATGCAAGGCCAAAACAGACGTTCTAATGTGTGTACCACTTCTGCGTTCGGGCCCAATCGCTCTGTATGTGGGGTTTGGGGTCCCCATAGTTGCATTCGATAGCTCCTTGTTTACACCCCCGTGGGGAAGAACTCTGGAAAACACAGTCGAGCACTTCCCAATCTACGGGACTGGCAGCATACATTTCAAGGAGAGAGCAACATTCTATGTTGAGAGGAGAGGTAGACAGGGCATGTAGTTGACGCCGTCCTAGGATACCGTATCAAGTTAGGTTCACAGCGGTTGGTGGGCTGACACGGCATTGATTCCGCTGTCCCTGTATCTTGCCCCATAATGATCGAAGTCGGCACCAAAACAACACTCATCAGGGGTTCCATTTGCCCTAATCCTCTACTATTACGTACGTAGCAGAAAACCTTCCTTTTGCCGAGGTCAACACCAGGGCGTGGGCTGGTTTGCTCTCTGATACCCCATCCACGCACTGCCTCCGATTATCCATTTCCCCTACCACATATTACGTGTGGTTCTCCCTCTGTCTATCCCAGCACGGTCTATTGGGTTCTAGAGGAGGATGAGTGTAGTTACAACAGACCACCCATGTCAAAGCGGCGTGATGAGAGAGCGAGACATGGTAGTGATGAAATTGAGCCATGCACCGTACCGAGTATTTATAGCCTATAGGCAGGAGGTATATGCACAACACGTTCACTGCATGTCTCTTTGAGCCCCATCTGACAGGGATCTACCACCAGGCACGACATGGTGATCCTGGAAGCAGGCCAACTTCAGAGCCAGCCAGACCACGACATTCCGCAGCAGCCCCCGCGTAGCCCTGGCCTGACTTTGTAAGAACAAGACTACCAGATAAGACTACCGCGCTCCTGATCGCTACGGATTCCCGTCATCACGATTCTACAGCAGTCCTCCAGGTCCCCTCAAGAGAGCCTCGTCGAGCAACGACTACCAGGCCCCACCAAACAGCACCGACAAGGACAGCGGTTCGGACCAGGTGGGCAAAGACCCGTCGGCCGCGGCCTCCAGCACCAGCACTCTGACTGGTAGCAAAGGGACTGTGACGGCGAACATCCCCGATACCTCTGTGGGACTTGGCCGCATACGAGCCACCGCCAACACCTCGCTCACCGAACCCCAGCAGCCACAGCACCGGTTTGTACACCAGGCTTGGCCATACAATAAAGATGAGGCCTGCGGCGGAGCACACAGCTCGTGGGTTTCTGCGTATCCACATCCGAGTCTGTCAAGATATCAGCTGCATATCTGCGAGTGGCTCTGCTTTGAAGCAAGATATCACAAAATGAGGTCTTGTTTACCTTGTTAAGGTAGGAGAGCATCGGCTTCAGGTCATCTCGAGCGGTGATTTGGGAGGCTTTCTTTCTCATGAGTGAGAGTGTCGAGTGACCCAGCGGGAGGATAACGTCCACGACCGTCTTCCGCGTCAGGGACGTCGCGCTTTCGACTCCATCTCGAAGCTGCCCCGTTACTATCAACACTGCTTCGGGTATGCTTTCTCGTTGAAGCTCTTCTCTTGCATGCTCAAGGCTAGCCGTGAGGCTTTTGAGCATATCTGACCACATTTCACCCAAGCCCTTCACTGATCCTGGATTCTGGCTCTTCGACCAAGTGCTGGGTAGAACCATGGGTAAGATGGCGTCTTTGCCCAGGTCTTCAGCTGTTGAAGAAGCTCTCCAGATCATCAAATGTATGGGGCGTGGCAGCCTCTCCGCACGCTGTGTAACCTGAAATTTGGCTGACCAGTCAACTGATCCTCCCGTGCCTCTGTTACAAGCGCCGATTCATGACGGCTGGTGCGTAGCGAGTTCCATCTGTATCACCGTTGTTCAGTTACCGAATCCAATGCTGCTGTTGTTTCTTCATAGGCTAGAACAGTCTGACTCGGTCATCATCATCTGGTCCACAGTTGCCATCTCCCCTAGCTCAGCTGGTTAGAGCGTTCGACTGTTAGTCCTCACATCATGAGGAGCCGCAATCGAGAGGTCGACAGTTCAATCCTGTCGGGGAGAGCTACTTTTTGTGGCTTGAAGATATTCCCAACTCCCCTAGTTTTTAGGTTTTGTTCGGCACCGATAAGCGAATCGTCCTACCTGTAGCTTGTTAGCCCTGTTGTTTTGACCACAGGTTCGACCATTGACACAATTGCAAGGATCAGCCATCCTTCCACTGGATTTGTTCTGGTGTCCAGTCGTGGGTGTTCACGTCTAAGGCACCTGCAGCTTTGCTTACCTACCAACAGTACAAGTGATGGTTTTAACCTGTAGTGGTCGCGTAGTGCATGTTACTCGGCAGGGGTTTTGGCGCTAATTTAGCGTTTATGCACAACACTAAAGAGCAACCTGTGTAATGCAGATTTCTGCACGGGCCACTCCTAGCAAGCTTGCACGGCCCACGATCGCGTCACTGCCTTCCAACAACGACTGTAGTTACTATTTTTCTTAAACCAAACAACCAAAGCGAACTGTTCAAACTGCAGTATATCCTGTCAGCAAGCTGGACCCAATCTTTCAATCTCTGCAGACTGACGGACTCGACATATGGCGTCATCCCGAACGAGCGGCAGGGACCGCTATCGTTCGCGCTCTGCGACCCGGTCGCCAGCACCTCGATCTTATTCCAGATCACCTACCCCGGTTCGACGCCGCTCACCCACGCCAGCCAGCGATCGCAGCTACAGGTCGCCCTCTCCCCGGCGAAATGGCAAATACAGAGACGACAGTAGAAGCCCCAGTCGAAGCCGGAGCCGCACGCCACGTAGTCGGACTCGCAGCTTGAGTCGCGATCGTCGCGAGAGCCGGGCGAGAAGCAGAACTCGCAGCCCTTCACCATTCAAAAGCACCAAGGTACTACATTTCACGTGATTACTTCGCATGACGCGCTATGTTTCTTTCTAACCACCGCGTACATCAGATTGTTGTCGAGCGATTGACGAAGAATATCAACGAAGATCACCTTCGGGAGGTATTTGGCGAATACGGCGAGATTGAAGATCTGGATCTGCCCATTGGCAAATACAGTAAGCCCGACCGTGACCTGAGGATATTGTGTTCGTCCTTACTGACGCACCTCTTACAGCCGGTACCAACCGCGGTACAGCCTACATCCTCTACACCAACGAAGCTGATGCCGAGTCGGCCATTGCACACATGCACGAAGCTTCCTTGGACGGTGCCATGATCAACGTCTCGATCGTTCTACCACGTCGCAAAATCTCGCCTGCACCTCCAATGGCCCGGCGCGGTGGTGGTTACGACCCTCGGGGACCACCACCAGGAGCCCGTGGTGCTGGCTCCGGTCCGTTTGGAGGAGCTGGTGGCCGCCGTGGCCGTGGCAGAAGATCGCCAGGTGCTGGACGCTATGGCCGCGATCCTGACACCTATCGCCCGCGGTCAGCCTCGCGCTCTCGCTCCAGATCACCTCCACCACCTCCCAGCGGTGGTCGCAGATTTCACAGCCGATCACCTTCGTTCGCTTCCAGATCCAGATCCAGGTCGCGGACTCCTCCAGGCCGAGGACGCGGTGGCCGTGGAGGCGGCCGGAGAAGAAGTCCCACCCCGGACTACGATCGCCACAGTCGCAGTCGTACCAGGAGCTTGAGCCGGAGCAGGAGTCCAAGCCGAGGATACCACAGAAGGTAGTGATTGCGTCACTTACCCACCAAGGCTTGCGTGTTGTTATGGATAGGTTACGGCTTGCCAGGACAGGGTTATCATGATTCGGCGTCTACGGTGGGAACGGGAGGGAAAAGGGGTGTCAAAAGAAAGGTTTGCCTGGCCTTGCATCGTCATCATGGGTCGGTTGTAGCCATTATGGCAGCTAATAGAGTTTCACTATCTCTGCAAGGTGGCAGTTTCGTGCACGCTTTTCTTGCTTTCAGTGGGCTAATATCTTCCCTTCTAGACATCTCAACGTCGGCCTTGCTTGCGCGATCTCGATTGCGGTCGCCATACGTACTACTAACAGAAAAAGCCTCAATGTATCGAGTTTGTAGGCCTCAACTTTGGTAGGAATGTGTGGGTTAGATCCTTGTCCTCAGAGTCCGCTGCTGGTTGCATAAGCATTGGCTGACCAAGCATATGGGACATGTCAGCACTAGTGCTGGGCCCATGTCAGCAACAGCAACAGCACTAACGGGCATAGGTGATGCCCATCACTGACAAAGCCCAAAACTGCCTATTTAAGAAGATGGCTGGGCCGCCTGATCTCTGCCTTCCTTCTGCTGCGTCAGACGCTATCCATCGGCCTGACTTGACCACCGTCATCCTCATCTGATACCCCCAAGATCCAACCCCTTCTTCGGCTTTATCTTTCCATATACGATGGCTTCCCCGCTGCCTCCCCCACGACGCATAGTGGCTTCCAACCTCGCGTTACAGTCATCCGGGGCAGACTCCTTCAACGAGCCTGCCGTTGAGTTGCTGGATGAGACCATCACACGCACTCCCGTCTTTGATGGTCTTGAGCGAGCAGCCGTTTTCACCCATGCCTCTGTTCCCACCAACAATGACGGATCGTGCGTGTCTCCATATATTGATGTCGTTGTTTCCGAGCCAAGATGCTAAAATGATCTAGTGGACCGTTCGTGCTTGACAAAGCTCCGGGAGCAGGTGTCGTGTTACCTGGCGGCGCCAACGTCTACTACCTAGACCTTGCACCAGACCTCGCGTCACCCATGGTGAGTCTTGGCGCCCGCGGCTCCCCCGTGGTCCAACATGACTTTTTTAAATAAGCTGACAAGATTCGCCAGCACCGTACTGTATCGACCGATTACTGCGTGATTTTGGCGGGGGAGCCCACGTACATTACTCCGGCTGTCCCCTTCAATGTTGTCAATGGAAAGGGGGATTATGAAAAGACCCAGGAGACGCTATGCAAAGCTGGTGACGTTGTCATTCAACGTGGCGAGATGCACAGGTAAGTGTACAGCTACTTTTCACTTCCGTCGCCCAGCTTTCGGCAGAGTTTCGAATCGGGCCAGGTGCAGACCATCACAAAGCCCATTTTGGACAAAAACTGATAACTGCGGAACAGTTGGGCCAATCGGACTGACGAATGGGTGCGGATCTTTTGTGTGATCCTGGCCGCGAATCCTTCCCAGACTCCAACCGGAGACGGTAAGCTCACCGAACCACTGGGTGAGCGATGGCTGTCTTGAGCACGGTTGTCCATTGGAAAACACTTCGGGAGTGGCATAAGAATTGGCTCAAGCCGCCCAAGGGGGCCGCATTGGATGTGTAAGCCGACTAAGCTACGTGATCACTGGTGGCTTACTTGAAGATGCAGTGGTCTGGACTGTCAGACTTAGACGCTGGATAGTGGCACAGAGATGCAGAATTATACCGGTGCAAACACAGCTTACTTGGAGGAAGTCTCGTTGATCCATTGAGGATCACCAGTCGTGGTTATGGGAAGGAGACGGTATGGGATTGTGCGACTCTACTCGCTTAAGGCTGCTACGACTAAAGTGAAACCAACACAACATGGAAACAAGTCCCATGAAGACAAACAATCTTCGATTCAGGACTGGCCACATGGCTCTTATCGGGCAACAAATGGCTACCTGTGTTACGCATACGCCTCATGATCATGTCACATACCATTACTGGTATTACGGACGACGGCGTCCCGAACAGGGTTTCCCAGCGTCCAATCGGGCGAGATCATTGATTGGTATGGTAACGCTGTTTGAGCCGACTCAGGGCCCCAATATGCATGGCGATAGAACTTGTGTCCAGGGCTGCAAAGAGTATGGAGGTCACCACCGTAAGCCAGAGCCTTTCATCGCAGACCGCCCCCAACCAGTCTTAGACCTCTCTCTGACGTTTCTCCTTCGGGCGTCTTTCAGTCCCAATGCAAGATTACCGCGTACACAGGACGGACCATACTGCCGAGGATGGAGGTTTGATAGGCAAAGGTGTGGTCACAAGTTACACGTACGGCTCATGTTGTCACACTAGTGTAGGCACTGTCATCCGATCAGTGTCACAACGAGAGATATGCGCCGAAACTCCCATCCTGTACAAACACTTTGGGGGTCGAAGACAACTGAGCGGATCAGATGTCGAGATGCCATCTATAAGGCGGTCTTGGATTCTTCGTCGGCTATTCGGGTGTTCGACTTCCAAGGTGCTCGAGTGCCCGACTTACTAGTACTCTCACCACTTGGAGTCATTCCTCTGTACCTTGTCCTATACTTCTTCAACCCCAGATAGACCGTAACGGTTATTTGCACTTCGTCCTATTTTGCGATATTGAGTTGACAGTCTTATATGATGTTACTCCAACCCCCAGTCCCCCGTCGAGCGACGCCGCAACGACTCGTACATCTCTGGTCAAGTGAACCATTAGAGCCCATCCCACAGATTCTCAAACATAGCCATGGAACGGACGAAGACGAATTCTACTCCGGACCGACACATCCACCTAGTCCGGGTCCACGACCTCGCCCAGAACCCATTCACCCGCCGCCTGACGTGCCAACGCCCCCTGACTCACCCAGAAACGGATGTCATACTTTTGGTCAATAAACCCCGCTGTACAAGCTTTGAGATGGCGTGCGATAATCGGGACGAGACGCTGGTTATATTCCTTTAGCATTCCCACGGGGTCTCCTCTGTGGTCCAACTGCACAGTCCACATGACAACCCGTCCTGGGTACGACGTATACCAGTCACCAACACCTCTTTTGCCAGGACCCCTCCATCAGCGACAACTACTCTTCCCGGCGAAGGATAAGTCTCTTGTCATCCAGACCCGACCTGTTCCAACTTACCGGAAGTGGAATACCTCCTACGCTCTTCCGTGTCCCATTTCGAAGCAGAGCTCTGGCGCACACACCTCCGTGATGGACCATCCCACCTCTATCTCGGGAGAAGAGACGTTAGACTTCTTGAGGGATTCCAGCTGCCTGTAACCCCCAGCGTTGTTCCCAGCCTTCGAGTGGCGTCCTTTTCACGAGAAACGACCCAGCACTTGACCACGTTCGATGAGCACGCGAGCCCAGACATCCT